AGTTTTTTTGTTTGGCGATGTTTATAAGAGACATAACAATGAGAAGCCTGGGGAAGTGTTTGCACTTTTCAACTGCAGTGTCCGCAAGGATAATTCGGTACCATTGTTAGACCAATGTAGTTCACTGTTTTTGTTATTAATGGCTAACTTTTGATAAGGGCAACTTATTTGCTTCTTTCCAGGAGGGTGGCTTTTGTTTGAGCTTATTTTCAGTAAGTAACATCTTAAAGATTGGCACGTCTGCTGACTATGGGATTTGCAAGGGGAAAAGGAAGGATGGACTGGCCTGCACACTATTCATTAATAAGTATATTTCTTTAACCCTATATCAGTAACTGCAGAAAAGTTGTACATTTAGGAATTTTCCTGCATCTGTCTCTGTGAGACACATTGTTCTTTGGCTACAGATGTCGGATGGTGAATTTCAGATGGTTTCTGCTAGATAGATTCTTTAAGAAACTAGTCAAATTACGAAACTCTGATAGTTTTTTATTAATGTTTGCATTTTCTAGTTAACTAACAAATATGTTTAGTTTTCATAGACATTAATATCCAGGAGACCAGGATCAAATGCACCAATCTTGTAGACTTGTACAGTTGTACCATACAATTAAGGGTCCATTTGGAACTTGTTAAATGCTACAGAAAGAAAATGTGGAGTGAAATAGAGATGAAGTTGGAAGGAAAGAAAATGATGGGGATATAAAAAGTTGCTTACAACTCAATATTTTAATTTTAGATATTTGTTCCAACACTTGTTATTGAAATATTTCTATTATATAAAGACTAAGAAATCTAAATATTGCTAAACTTTCAATTTACAAAAGAAAGTTAACTTTGTTTTGCATTTTATTAGCTAAAACCAAACATCAAAACAATTTTCATTAGAGTTGTTTTCATTCCACCATTTTCAGTGTTCCAAAAATTATCCTAATCTAGTTCATCTATTTCTCATTTTCTTGAAACTGAGTTCTATCTAAGCCACTGTTTGTTTACATATAAAATCTTATATTGGATGCTGTTTCACAAACGTGATAGCTGTTTTATTGGTTTGCAGTTGTATGAATTTGTACTAAGATTTTCTCAATTACTTGCAGACGGAAAGGAGCATATTGCAGCTACCACCGACAGGTTATTGAAGAGAACTCAGAATATTCCCAATCATAATAGAGTATTGCAGTTTCCTAATATATTTCTTCTTTCAGAAAACATCCGAAAAGTACACTGTCACCAGGAATGAACTTAAGGGAGGGTGAGTACCATTCTTGTTATTACAATAAACATAAGGCACATAATATATTCAGAACTTTATTTTATGGTTTCCACCCTCTAAGCTCTGACTTTTTCTCAACTCCTATTGATTTTTTATTGACCAGGAACTTAAGGACTGCTTTTAGGCGTGATCTCAAGTCCGAAGGAATATATGTGGTTAACCCTTCTGCAGACATAACGAACCCCACAAAGAACAAAGCACCGGTGAAATTATATTCCACAGACCAATTAAAGAAGGCATTGAGGTTTTTGAACTTCCTAGTCATGTACTCTGTATTATGAAATATGTGACAAAAAGTATATGGCTTCCAACAACTAAAATGTACAGTTCTTATGGACTTGTTTTACCTGAAAAAAGACTGTTATAAAAGTTTTTTTTCTTCAAAGATAGTCATATTCATAAAGTTGGAATTCCCAAAAGAAGTTATAAAGTTAGACCAAAAAGTAAATTTTAAAAACATAACTGGGATTCTATGAATCTGTGTTGTCCCTTGCATCCTTGCCATGATAATAAAGTTGTACCTTGATCAAACAAGACTTTCTTTGGAAAGACTAGTAAATTTTTGTGAACTTGATACTGAATGCAAGCAATTTCATGGGTGATAATCTGGTATGCTTAATTCACAGCAATGCAGGAAAAGTAACTACAAATGCATACTCTCAGGGAATTCGGTTCCTTAACAAAATTGCAGGTCCGTATATAGATAGTACTTCTATATCTTTACCAAAGTGAAGCCACCGTTTTTGATAGTTTGTCATTGTTACTTTAACTTGTCTATAGAACAATCAAAAAGCTCCAAAGACTTCAGTATTTCAAAAAGTTCTATTGCCCAGAACCAAAAAACAAGCAAGCCAGAAGAAAGGTAAAATGTGGGATGCTGCAACTTCATTCTATACCACCTGTAATGGTGTTAGTCTATTTTGGCTTTGCTAGAAATTTTAAATTTGTTTCAGGATACCACCAAATAAGAGAAAAACTCCAACTCAAGTCCCGACAGGTCAAGAAGTACAAGACAAGAGAAGAAAATCAGATGAGGTGAAAAGTAAAGTAAAAGAGGAGCAGGTGAAAAAGAAAATGATAGAACTGTACGCTGTTAGCTCAGATGATGAACTCTAGAATTCCCAGATTTTGGTCTGGGAAATGGGAATTCAATTTCAGTAGAACAGTCAAATCGTCCAATTTTCATGCTACCAAACGCGCTTGTATAGTTTTATTTTATTTTTTTGAATTTGAAAGACAGCAAATGAGGGGACTTTTGAAGTTTCTCTTTGAGACAATAAAATGCTCCTCCCAATTTACTTGTCGTCGTTACTGCCCATCAAACTAATTGCCTCTCAGATTTTTTCAGGTGTTGCATAAAGCTTTAATGTTGTTTCATAGGTTATAAACTTTGTTCTTTTTTCTTCTTGAGTTAGTTATTTCTTGGTATATTATTTTATTTAATCAACTATATCTGTCCAACTTACAAGTTTTGTTTGTTCATATGGAATTAAAATACTAAAAAATTGATCAAGAAGACTATCAAACTTGTATCATGTTTTGTTCTGCGGAGAATGTTGAGATTAAATTACAGGAAAAGTTTCAAGTTTAAATTCTACATTTCTAGCTATAAGATCAATTCCAATACTAGATTCTATTGGGAAAAATGTGTTAAAATTGCATTAAATGGTCAATTTGGGGCAGAATTTTGAGTGGGTCCCACTTTCGATTTAGGTCAGTCAAAGTGGTTTCGGATTCTCTTTGTCAAGGGCTTCGATTTGATATATAGTACTCTCAAAACGGATAATGAGTAAGAAATTGATTCTCAAAGTTCACTAATTGAAATGTTGAATGATAAGTTTCTAGTGTGAGTTATCCCAGAAAAACCCAAGAGATTTTCACCCTATATACAGGTTACCCTCCTTGAAGCAGTTAAGATTCCTAGGTGGAAAGGCTTTCTTCACGCGCATGGGGTGCTGATCAGATCCCAAAAACGGAGAAGGAAAACCACAACTTACGTGTGCGTGTGACCTACGGACACGAATATCATCCGAAAATCTATCTTACATAAATAATTTAATTTTTGTTTCTTCCCGTTATGATCCTATTTTTTGCTTCAGAACCAGCTTGCCAGCAGGCTGCTGCTCATTCAACGGACAATGGTCACCAACAGGCTCATGGTGAACCATTTCAACATTGAAGTCCAACGTTCTTCTCCCTTAATGTATCTTTAAATGGACAATTTATGGACGTATTGATGCCCAACGTTCTAGTCATTTATGTCTAACGTTCAGGTCCATTAAAACGCATTTAACACACAACAAATTCGTCCATACGTATAGCTGGCAGGTGTTTTGCAACAACACAGGATAATACACATCTTCACGTACTTTTGAAGCTTAAACCACCTCGAGCTTTCTGAAAGTTCCTTAGTGTTCTTGTTTTGTTTCTGTTCGCCGGAACAATCGATTGCGTGCTCAAACGGTTGTTCATAGCCACTGTATCCTGTGAAACTATCGTTGCAACACTTCTAGCATCATGGGAGGCAACAAATATGTTTGAAGAAAATTGTGTGTTGCACAACCTTTGGTTATTTTGTCCCATTTTGTTTCTATTTGCTTTGGCTAAGTTTTTCTTAAGTTAATTTCTTTATTTTTTGAATAAATGCGAAATTCACCCAACAAATTCGTCAAAGTATTTTTTTTAAAGAAGTTCGCGAATTGTCAACTTTGTGCATTGGTCAATGTTTTAATATCTAAAAATGAGAAGATTAGGGAAGAGAGAATATGTTAAGTATGTTCTTGAGAGAGTTGTTCCTAATGGTGTTCTTAGAAGTGTGTTAATGATGTATTTGAAGATGATTATGAGCTCCACACTTATCACCTTGAAATCATAATTATGGTAATAAATGAATAAGTTCTAATCATGAATAGTTTTTTTTTTATCATCATGAATAGTTAGAAAATATAGAAATATAGAAATTGTCATGAATAAGAATAAAAACGTTTTGAAATTTTAATATATGAACTTCGTTTTTATTTCCTAAATAGGAGTAATTTCTCCCAAATTTGAAAAAACTGTCATGGTAAAGTCTGTTAATGTCGAACTTGTCAGAATTTACTCATATTCAAGAAATAAAAAACATGACAGCCTTATTTTAGAATTTCTAAACCTTTTTACTCCTATTTAAGGAATTTTTCCTAGAAAATACTAATTCAATTACTCTATTCGTATCATTTTATATGTCCTACTTTCCTTTTTGGGTTGTCCCAAAATAAATGTCACGTTTCTTTTTTTGAAAAAAAAATATGTGATCCATAACATTTCACTTTATTATACTCAAATCTCAACCATAAATTATATTTTTCTCACCATTTTATTAATAATTGTGTCAAATCAAAATAAATATAGTGCTATCTTCCGTCTCTTTTTAATCGCAACATGTTGAATTTTACACTATTCACATGTTTTACTTTGACTACATTATATATTATTATTTTATGAAAATTATTTTTTTAAAAAAAATATTGTTCAATTCATCTCATTACAAATTTTCAAAATCTAATTTTAAAAATATTTTTTACTAATAGAGATTAAGATATAATTACGGTTAAAGATGTGCGTTAGTAAGTATGAAATGTTGACCAACTAAAAAAAGAAGGATTTGTGGTTTAATTTCTTTCCATTCTTCTAGATAAATACTAGTACTCCGTATTTAGTTGATCTCGCAGTTTACTGTCGTATATTGTCGTTTTCAGTCACTGACTGATTCATAGCATACTTGAAGCTGTGTAGGGTTTCTTCCTCTCTGCTAAAAATTCAGAACTGGAAAATGGAGAGAGGTGAGTTTGAATGTTCAAACCAAGAGATGTTATCAAGTTCAAATTTCTGCGACATTCCAGACTGCACCTCCATCGACATCTTTCTGAATGATATTCTCAAGGATAACACTGCTTGCACTCATACCCACACTTGCAACCCGCCCGGCCCTGATACGACCCATACCCACACCTGTTACCATGCCCACACCAAAATTGTTCCGGCTGCAAGTACGGATGACAGTTTCGAATCCACTGACAAGAGCTCGAAACCGCCCACGGGGAATCGGGAGGCTGTGCGTAAGTATAGGGAGAAGAAGAAGGCTAGGGTTGCGTCTTTAGAGGATGAGGTGATCAGACTTAGGGCACTAAATCAGCAGCTATTGAGGAGAGTACAGAACCAGTCCATGATGGAGGCTGAGATTTCTCGTCTTAAGTGTTTGCTTGTTGACATTAGAGGGAGAATTGAGGGTGAAATTGGATGCTTTCCTTACCAGAAGCCATTGAAGAAGAGTGGAGAGAGTTATCAGAACATGGGTGTTGATGATATCAACCTTTCCTCTGAAGGATTGTATGTCATGAACACTTGTAATGTGCAGTGTGGCGATGGGGTCGATGTTGGAGGATTCAATGACTGTAGCTTTGAGAATCCTGATTGTGGATTGATGAGCAGCTTGCCTAATGGAAATGGTTCTAGAGGAAGGAAGAGGAAAGGTAAGAATTTTACCATTTGTTTCTTGATGCATACAAAATAAATCTGAACTTGACACCAGTAAATTGTTTGCTAAAAGAATCTGTTTTTCTTGATTCTTTGGGCTATGTTTGAACCCTTCAAAATGCTAGGGAGGAGAAATAAAATGCTAACGACAGTTAATTTCTAATGCTTGAGCCTACAACGTAAATTGAAAAATAATTGATGCTTTTGAAATGTTTATATGCTTAGATTATTTAGTTTATGATGCGTATGAATAGAGAAAAATACAATTTTGAACAGACACTCAAAATAAATTTATTAAGTTACGAAGCATGCTGTATTGCTGTGTTTCCCTAAACATTTTCTTCCTTCCAAAGCTCTCCAATACTTTCCTCCTTGTTTCATTTCCCACCGTTTTCCACGTTCCAAGCAGCTCTTTACACACTTCTATGGAAAATGACTTCCCATTTTGAAAACAAGAAGCTATTTCTCTGTAACACTTAAGTTTGCTGTTCGTGGGAATCGTGGGTCAACCATTATGTTCGATGTAGAACACCATCTTTATGAGATACTTTTTTAAGATTGGGATGAGCTTTATGACTTAGTAGGGTTTAATATTGTTACTTTTTATTTTAAAAACACCCTATTTCACGGTTTTCACCCCTTTATAACTGATTAAAACCAAAAATATCCCAAAATATCTTGTGCAGACCATCCAGATTTCATTAGCATCGCTATAGCGTCCGCGACAAACGCTATTGCGCCCGCTATTACCGCAACATCCAACCATTCCGATACGGAGTTTTTTGCGCTCCACTTCCCCCCACCGCTGTTGTGTGCTATTGACATCACTGGTCTGGCAGAATAAAACATATTCAGGAAAAATTTTATACTCAATAATTGTTTTTACCCCGGGGGATCAGGGGGGCCTGGGGACCGCAGGCTGGGTAAACAGGGTTAAAACTCTCTCCATGGAGTTTCAAACCCAAACTTCCCGTATGAGAGAGTGAGTCGGGGACCAGCCTCCGCAGAGCTGGACCTCTTGCTCAACTCAAGGAAATATTTACCTGCAATTCTTGGAAATCATGTGAGAAAATGACTCCCCAATTTGAGAACATTTTTAAAAAGTTTTAATTTTTTAGAGATGTATTGGGTGATTGGGTCATACAATATATTATACACAGAACAACTTATGTTTTAGGTAAATAAGTTGTTTTCACGCAATCGATGAAAATCTGACCATCTTAATAAGAATTGTGTGCTGAAGAACATTAGCGGAGCAACGGTGAAGAACCGGACATTCTTGTCGAGCTGCTTACATGTACATTAATTAAGAAGACAAGCCCACACACACACGTCCTTTTTCTTACTTTATGGAATAGGTTAAGTGCATAATAACAACCTAGTTTTTGTTTACTGTGATAGGAGCACCGCGTGTTGATAGTTGAAGAAGCAACATACAACTCGGGAGAAGGCCAGAAGTGCTTGCTGCTTCTGAGATTGATTGGTCAGTGTGGATGGATGTTTTTAGTATTTTATGTGCTGCCATTTCAGCAGAGCTCTTATAATAAAGAGTCCAGTTAAAGTTGGTTCTCTGAAACATTTCATAGTGATTCCTTCTACATGATGGTGGGTGGATGGCTATGCAGTATCTACTATGTTGTACATTAGGATTTCTTTGTTCTCCTTTTCTCTTTTCAACCAATTAACTTCTTCCTACCCCGGCTTGGTAAAATGACTAACATATCCGGAGCAGAAGAGTTTCTCAGGTAGAGTCAAATTTGGTTGCAATGGCGGAACTTGATTATATTGTGTTGTAATTATCTAAAACTGTACTAGTATTCGACCTTATTTTTGAGAAAAAACGAATTAAATGAAATAATGCATAACATACGATGGTAGCAATTCCATTCAACATCATTTCAGTAAAATTGTAACATCTGCATTACCTATTACCATGGGAGTGCATGTCAGCATGTGTTTGATTTTACTTTTGAAGAGTGGTTTATTTTAGAGATTATATGAAAAGTGATTCAAAGTAAAAGTTGACAGTGTTGTGATTTTGAGAAAGTAAAAGTTGGGGAGTATTTGGTGGAAAAGTATTTTTTGTGTGTAATAGAAAAAATGAAAAGCATCTAAAATTACATGTGTGAATTACATGCGTGGACTAGACGGTATAAGATTCAATTAACTCGTCTCATAATTTTGGGTGCATAGAGATGACTTTAAACTGATTAATTGCAAGTAGAAGCACTCATTTGAAAACACAATTTTCAATTCTTTTGAAGCACTCGTTTAGTTTTTTCATGTCATAGCGAACACTCCCTAAATGGCTAAATGGTTCAGCTACTCGTAACTTCTAAAACTTGTAAATTTGTAATATCTGCATTTTACTATGTCATTCTGAAATAGAATTCATAGAATATGTCAATGTGCTTCCTTAGTCCTTACTCCATAAGATGCTTATTATACTTTAAAAAATTTAGCACTTTTCTGAATTACAATTACGTAGTGGTGTAGTACCTTCTTTAGATGAAAGTTTTGAATATATATTTCATTTTTCTTTTATAGTGAATATATAAATATACAATCGTATCAAATTACATAATCCTCTAAAACATCTCTTTCCTCTATGTCTTTCCCTTTTAAAATATACGTTTCTTGTCACTTTTCATTCATTCACTCTATTCTATATCCTGGTAAAATTTTCTCATAAAGTTAAAAAAGAAAAACAATAGAAGCAATTGATATGACAGATGGGAGGTATGTTGTCAATTTCAACCGTTACGAAACTGAACACTATTTTAAACAAACTAGTTAGGAGTTTGTTTTGTCACAACTACTATTTCTCCTCAGTACTAAAACTATGAAAAGAAAACGAACTAAATCAAAGATTTGTATGAAATAAAACACATCTGATCCAAGAATGATAGCTGGTTGGGGTTATGTCATATACTCCAGTATGTAAATTACTGATGAGTAGAACATTATTCCATCACATGATAGCACAGGCAGCTGGGTTATCATCACTGAATGCAGTGGTGTATTGAACTTCGGTGGAAGAGGCGCGCGCTAGCTGGTACACCTGCGGATCCTCCGCCCTCCGGACGTACCCGGCCGGAGCCTTTTTGTCGTACACCCCCTGTGCATAGGGATGTGCCACGACTCCGTACGGGACATACGGCCAGATCTCTACCTTCTTCCCTGTCCGGTATGCCACTCGAGCCACCACTTTGTCAGCGTCCACGTAACCGACCACGGTGAGCTTGTGCTGCTTCGGATCCACCTGGATTGAGCTCACTCCCTTCATCCCCTCCACAGACCTCCTCACTTTCCTCTCGCACCCTTCACAGTCCATCTTCACTCTTATCTCCACCGTCTGATCGTCGAATCATGCATACATTTACAACATGTTAAGCATTCCACGTACATTGATCCATTATATCTAAACACAAAGATCGATCGAGTTACCTGGAGTTGCCTGCGGTTCTTGTAGCGGCGGGAGCGGCCGGTGGTGCAATCGAATTTGTCGTAAAGGTGATCGAGAATTCCCATTGTTGTACTTTAGGAGATGCTAATTGATTAAAATAGAAAGAAGTCAAGAAGTTTAATGAATTCAAATGTGGAGACAAGCAATTCAAGCAGCTTTTATAGTGTCAAGGGCGAGGAAATGAGGGTGGGAATTTCATAGCCAGGAAGCAAGCAGCTAGGCGTGATGGGGAGGAACGTGGCATTTAATGATTGGTTGGAGTAGGAGAGATGAAGCACCGCCCGCACAGACCAGTGGCCGGATATCGACGTACGTGAGTGAGCTAGCTAGCGACCGGTCTTCCGGAGGAAGGGGACGTTACTTTACTCTAATTCTATTATTTAATTACAAAAAAAAACTATTTGTGGGCACTTTTTTGTACACACCATCTTAAACGCATTTATGAGCATGTTTTGTCCGTAGACAAGCTATTCACAAACAAAGAAATAAGAGAAAATTTCTATAATAAGATAGAGTAAATTTCATAATAGGCCTGTCATTTTGTATTACCTCCAATTCTTAAACCATTTTTACTTCTATTTCGAACACTTTTTAAGGAAATAATCCGTAACTCTTTTCAAACGTGTGTAAGATAGTGTTTGTAAACACTATCTTACAAACGTTTGAAAAGAGTTACAGATTATTTATTTATTTATTTAATTAACGCTCCATTCTCATGTCTGAATGCCCGCCCATCTCTTTTTGTAAAAGAAGATTGAATACAAATTAAAGGCGGCCATATCTATAGACTACAGTTAATTATAATATTAAAATAAAGGAAAATGTTTACAAATGGGAGTAAAATTTACTTCTTTTACTAAAATAGGAGTGCGGTTATTTTTAATCCTAAATAGGAGTATATTTTATTGATTTGTCATTTTTACCCCTGCTATTTGTTTCAAGCGGAAGATAGAAACTCAGATATTACATCCGCGATTCGGATAGCGGGAGAGTAGGCATGAAGGTATTCGATCGATGGTGAACGAGGGTGCACAAGGCAAAGGCGGCGGAGTTGAAGAGGCCGACGGTGAGCAGCGGCGACCAGCGTGGGACTGTCGGCGAGTTGCGATTCGAGATCTGGTGACCTGAGTGAAGTAGCTCGTAGATCTGGTGACCAGCGACCAACGTGGGACCTTCTTCTTCTCTGGTTTTGGCTCTGACGACAGATTTAGCCTTTTCCGGCAGAGGTGTTGCTAGCAGAATGAATGCCAGTCGATAGCCATATGCACAGTGGTAGCTCCAGAGGTGTCAACAATTGATGCCTTCGTGAGATAACAAAACAGCCTCAGATGCTTGATTGCTTCTTTGTTTATTAAAAACTGCCAAATTGTATGCTCAGAATGCCATTAAAATTGCATTATTATTCTTCAAAATGCTATATTTTAGTTTGAAAATGCCATTAATATGACCTTGTTGCTTCAATTTGGTAGTCCGAAAAAATTTTTGGCATTTTTCCCGGTCTTCAACAGTGATGGTGCTGGGAGGCGTGAGAGTCGGTAGAAGGTGCCGGCATTTTTAATTTCATTTTTATGATTTTTTATTAGATAAAAAGTGAATTTTTTAATGTTAAAATATGCTAAGGGTAGAATGGGCATATACATACTAACTAGTCCTATTCTGGAAATTTAATACCTCTACTCCTACTTGGGCAATATAGCTTTTATTTAGTCCCTTTTAAGGAATTACCCCTAAAATAAAAGTGCAAGACTTATTAGTACTCCGTAGTGGATACAGTCATAAAGAGCTGACCTGGGCCCATCAGAAGAGCTTCGTAGGTAGATGCTCTTACCATAATACGTATAATGATGTGAATACCGGTGGGCATAGCTCAACTGGTAGCAAGGGAGTGCCACAAGGGTTAGGTCTCGGGTTCGAATCCCGGTAACTGCGATGATGGGTTACTACGCTGAAAAATGCATAGGGCCTCTGCAAGTACCGGGGACAGAGCTCCACTCTCTATCTGTCAGGTTGTGATTATAGTCCAATTTACATCCTCCCATCGTACTGTCCGGTCGGTGTTGGGGGACCCTCACTGATGGGGTGTCAATCTTTTTTTTTGTATAATCATGTGAATGGATAATTGGATAAGGGAAGAAGGGAAGTAGACCCGGAAAATGAGTTGAATATAGGTTCGAATCTGCGGGAAATCTTTGGGGATACGATTAAAGTTGAGATTATACTTGGCCATGTCATAAACTCGTGGGATTGAAAGGGATTTGTAACGATAATAATACTAGAGCGTAGGGAAAATTGATGGAATATGATTAAAACCTAATCATATTTGTTGAAAAAATGACAACTACAAAGTAGGCCTTTCCTGAATCGGAAAAACCGCAGCATAAACCTTACAGATCACCCCATTATTTGACTGTTGTAGCGTCAGATTCCGGGCCGGGCTGCACTATTTGCAGTGTTCTGGTTCAACAAATACCACTCATTCAAGAAGTTTAAGGTCATAAAATGCAGCTCCGAGGATCCCTATCTGATGGAACTATGGGACTAGGCCCAGAGCCTAATCGGCACATGTCCCGAACTTGGACCGTGGGTCCCAAGCCCACAACCTAGAGCCTGCCTACCAGCCCGGCCGACCTGTCAGTCAGGAAGAGTAACAGTCAAACAATTAATGTGATGTTTAGTAATGTATTTAATTCCATATTAATTTTGTAGTTAATTAGTCATTATAATCGGTAGCGGTTACGATTTGTTATACGCCTACAAAAGGCATGTTGTAATTCAAATTAAAGGAAGCAATTTTCATATACTCCACTATTCTTGGCAACTAAAACCTCTTGAACACTTTCCATATTCGTACTTTCTATTTTTCTACTGAGTGTTCTATCGTAACTTTCCCGAAAAGCCTACAAACGTTCTATTTTGGAACAACACTATCGCTTGTCATTCCAAATGAGTTTATTAAGGGGTTTCCAAATAGTCCATAAGTATGCAACAACTTTCTTCATTTCGTCCTCCGAACCTGAATAAAAAATCCTAGCCAACCAAGGTATAAAGAGAGCACCATGTATAGGTTTTAAGTTTTGAAAAGAAGTTGGCCACATGGTATGTGTTACACAACACTCCAGGTATATATGTTGCGTGGATTCATCGTCAGAATTGCAAAAGGGGCATATATGATATATCAACGAAATCAATACCTCTGCTACGAAAAGTACTTCGTACGAGAAGAACACGATGCCAAAGTTCTTAGAAGTATACCGCCAAATAAAGTTGAGAAACTTAGGAGGTATTTTAAGCCGCCAAAGTTCCAATCAAGTGGTAAATGGGGAATCGTATAGTTATATTTACTTTGTGTTTAATTTAAGTATTTATAAGTAATTGTTGAAGAAAAAAAGAAATATCGGACAAATACTTTCAGAATGAGAGCAAAAGCATAACACATTGTGATGAACGGATTTTGGGACCAAGAGGATGACGTACTGCCCGTAATTTGAGTATAACTTATTGTAGAGAATTCCAAATGACTCGATTCAAAGTTCATGTGAATAATAACTCAATAAGCTACAAATGTTGTGAAGACATCATGGCCAGAATATGAAAGGATCGAGACTCAATCAACCAATAAACTCAGATGTTGCTGATAGGATTTCAGGATGCATACCTCTGCATTTTTATCCATATCTTTTGATTGGATGAATAAAGTCACGTGATTCAAGTTTTGGTGGATAAAAGACTTCATTGTATCCAACTTTAGTGAATAAATCATGTCCAAATTCGTAGTGGAACATCCTCAAAATCCCAAGACAAAACCGGCGCCGGAATTGCACCAAATTAATGCCGATTTGATGATTTTTGCACATAGATCGCAAACCAGTAGCTTAACCGACGCCGACCTGCCCTTATAATTGGCGCCAGTTATGTCGTTTTTCAAAAAATTTCAGTACGCAAAGAAGAACCGACGCCGGTCAGGTCTGAAACCGGCGCCGGTTAGTTCGGATGTTTGCGCAAAACACAGCGATGTGCTCCATATGTTTTATGGGAAAACTTCATCTTCTTCATGATTTCATCAAATATTTCTTCCATACCGAATTGTTGGGCTCGAATAGACTAAAATATGTCATTCGTTTTAGCCTATATAAAGCCCTCAATTCATCACAAAAGCATTCCATTCCATAGATTAATTCCTAGTTTTTATATTTGGTTCTTGCTATTTTTCTTCAAGTTCTTGAGGAGGGAAGTTCATCCTCCAAAATCATTGGTGTTTATGTATTATATCCTTTGTAATTTCATGTTCCATTACATTTCATTATTGTATTGTGATTAATATGAGCATTAGAGGCTAATTCTTAGCTATGGCTAGGGATGAACTTCTATGGCCACAAGGTGTTTGATAAAAGTTCTAAACCAATAAATTGTGATTTATCCTTTATATTTTGACTGTTTATGACTATGTTGTACTGCATAAAAGTATGTTAAATTTATTTTATGCTTGCAATTACCGTTGAAGTCTAAATTATGAACATTAAAGGATAACCATATATATATATGTGTATATATATATATAGGAAATCTTTCCGGTAAGGTATACCTTACCGGAGCCGCCGTACGGCCTCAACGTTTTGAGGGCCTTCCCGGTGGAATTTTTCGATGAAATTTTTTGAGCATGTTCTTCATCAAGTCTAGTACATCCATACCAAATTTCAGCAAAAAATTCAATCGGGAAGGCAGTCAAACGATTTTTGGAAGATAACTGCGTTTTATATTTATATAAAGGGTGCAGTTATCTTCCAAAAATCATTTGAATGTCTTCCCCATTTAATTTTTTGCTGAAATTTGGTATGGATGTACTAGACTTGATGAAGAACATGCTCAAAAAATTTCATCGAAAAATTCTACCGGGAAGGCCCTCAAAACGTGAAGGCCGCACGGTGGCTCCGGTAAGGTATACCTTACCGGAAGAGTTCCCTATATATATATATATATATATATATATATATATATATATATATATATATATTACCGAGAATATAAATATATCTGGTATTATATGATACGAGTTGATGTCTTGATATTCAACGGGGGTTTTGATAGATGAATGTAAGCCGTAACGGGAC